TTGCATCAGCTTCGCTGCCCAGACAAGAGCCAAGGATTAAAATACTTTCCTTCCAGCAGTTTGTCTTGCGGCTGAGAATCACAGAGCTAAGACCCTGCAAGCTTTTCCATATCATGCAGTCTGGGTTTCACAACATTTGGAGATCCCTTTGCAGGGGCTTGTTTCCCCCCACAATTGTCTTTTCCGAGATGGAGGGTTCGAATCTCCGCTCGGCTATGGAAAACCACTGGGTGCCGATTTTGGCAAGTCACACTCTCTCAGCCTCAGAGGCAGGCAAAGACAAATTCTCTATGAACAAATTCTGCCCCCCAAAACCCTGTGGGTTGCCATAAGCCAGAAATGACTTGAAGGCACACACCACCAACAATAAAGAGGAGTGACGCCAAGCTAGACAATGCCTTGCACCGACTGTATTACACAGATTGGAGGTTGTGTGCATGCACTTGGCCCAGATGGGTCCTTCAGGCACCTCAGGATATTAAAACCACAGGGGCCCAGGAGGAAAGAAAGCCCACGATTTCACAAAAGCTCAGCCGCTTGTCTCATGACCGCAGTTATTTATTATATTTGGCCGTTGGACAACATCTCAGCCTCCTCCTTCTGCCCTTTTTGCGGTGCCTTTTCCACTTCCTCGCAGACAATACTTTGCAGCTCCTTTTTCCATGGCCTCCTGCATGACTGTCTCCTCCTGATGTCCTTAGGTCACTTTAATTAATTTGGTTTCACTTCTTTTAACATGTGGGTTTTTTTTCCATTTCCCTCTTTCTTTTTCCGTAATGTGGCTTTTGCACAATATGGTTTTTGCAGCACAAAAAATAATGGAAAAAAAGTTGCAAACACATCTGTCCAGAGCTTGGGAAATTCAATAGATAGATAGATAGATAGATAGACAGAAATGTAGAGACATAGATTTACTACCATTGGCCATGCTGATGGTTGTGCGTCTCCGGGATTTACAGTCCAAATAGGTAACCTTCCCACACTCTATTCATGGACAAGATCCTACATTAGGGTTGCATCTCCAACTGGACAGTTACTTATCGATTGTGGTATACAACCCATGTGGCAATGCTACGTAGCTTCATGTGCATCCGAATGTGTAGAGGCTAATACACAACCAGAATGTGCATGTGCGCATCCTCACATCTGTATGCACAATGCCACCTCTGCACTGCAACACTGAACATAACATGAGCGTTGCGCATCAGACGAAAATGCCCAACCGCTTCCATAGGGGAACGTAGGCATGTGCAAGACAGGATCCTGGACTTTATCACGGGTAGGCAACCTTTCCCCTTTAAGGGCTGAGGGACTTCAGCTCCCAGAAGCCTCAGCCATGTTGGCCAATAGTCCCATGTTGGCCAATAGCTCCTGGGATTCTGGGAGCTGAAGTCCCTCGGCCCTTAAAGGGGAAAGGTTGCCTACCCCTGCTTTATCAGCAGCAGACGATCATCTCTGTGCTTCGCTTTGGTGTCACAACAAACTACAAATCCCAGAATTTTGATGCCCCTGATTCATAGGTAGATTCATAGAGGTGGAAAGGACCTCAAAAGCCATCTAATCCAACCCGCTGCCCACAGCCATGCTGGAAGATAAAGCACTCCTGAGAGACAGGCATCCAACGCCCCTTTAAAGATCTCCAAAAAATCCTCCCAAACTCTGGAAATTAGAAGAACTCCCACGAATAGATGGTTGGTTGCTGAAAGTTAGCAAAATGAGAGAGATGGAGAGGTGGACATTCGTGGTGAACAATAAACCAAGGTGCAAGGAAGAAAGAGAAAGAGACTGGCTAACAGTTCTTGAATATTGGGAGGGAATGTGGGGAATAAACAAAATTCTTTTCCAGAGCTACTAGAGAGAGGCTTATTAAGACCTTGGGCAAGTCACACTCTCTCAGCCTCAGAGGAAGGCAACGGCAAACCTCCTCTGAACAAACCTTGCCAAGAAAACCCATGTTCTTAGGGTCTCCATAAGTTGGAAATCACTTGGAGGTACAAAACAACAACAACAACAACATAATAATAATAATAATAATAAAATACAGTAGCAGTTTGGGTGTTGGGCTACAACTCTGGAGACCAGGGTCCAAATCCCAGCTCAGCCATGAAACCCACTAGGTGACCTTGGGTAAGTCACACTCTCTCAGCCTCAGTGGAAGGCAAAGGCAAACCTCCTCTGAACAAACCTTGCCAAGAAAAGCCCATGATAGGGCCAACTTGAAGGCACACAACAATAACAAACAAGACATTAATGACTCAATAGAACTACAAGACATAGAAATACATAAGTACTTATAAAGGCAAACACAATCAAAGAATGAGAAAAGACTTATAAAAATATTTGTTTATTTAATTTTGCATTGAACAAAGGAGAATGCAGGATTTTTTTTTCTATACATACTGTAATTGTGTAAAAACCAAATAAGATATTGAAAGAAATGTTATAAACCATGTAACGGAGGTGAAGTTAACAAAAGATGATCTTCCCTATATATTTGGATGAACATTTCGGAAGTCTAATAAAGAGAAGACAAAATTCGTTTAGCGATTTCAACAAACATCGATATTGTATTACAGCCAGCGCTTCATATCTACAGATTCTTTATCCACAGATTCAACCAATTCAATGGTTGACAATATTCCCAAAAGATAGGAATTCCAAAAACCAAACCTTGATTTTTAACCATTTTATATAAGGGAAAGCATTTTACGATGCCGTTGTATATCAGGGGACTTGAGCATCCTCAGATTTTGGTACTCATAGGGGTTCCTGGAACCAAACGCCAGGGTTTGCCAAGAGCCCACTGTACTATTATTTTATTTTCAAATAAAATTAATTAAAAAGAACAAACCAACTCTGGAAGATGGATACGCAGCTCTGAGGGCCTGAGCCACAAGCGGAAGAGGGCAGAGGTGACTCCAAGGGTTGCTTAAGACCAACCTAGTCACCGGACGCGGCGTTGGCGAACTTTTGCAAAATCAGGGATCGGGGTCTGCTGAATTTGCAGAACTCATTGCATGGGTGGCCTCCAGACTGCAGGATGGCATAAGGAGTGGCTTGTCTTTGTCTCTCTCTCTCTCAATCTTGTGGTTTGGCTGAAAATAGTATAAAAGGAACCCCTAAAGCATCTCTAAGAAAAGGTGTCCAAGACAGTCCTGTCCACTTTGCGTCCATTCCAGGGAAGACGCCATTCGAGTCCCAAGTGTATCCCAAGGTAAGGAGTCTTCTTTCTACTGGCAGTTCCCAAACTTTGCTCCTCCAGATGTTTTGGACTTCAGCTCCCAGAATCCCTGGCTGTTGGCCAAGCTGGCTGGGGCTTCTGGGAGTGAGAGTCCAAAACAGCTGGTGGACCAAGGTTTGGCAACCACTGCTTTATTTATGACAATGCAACACACTTGATAGCTTGAGAGGGAAAGTATCTGTATGCTTGTTCTCTACATGAACGCAGAGAAGCCTGTCTGTCTATGGGAAATTGGGGACTGGGACCTAGGCTTATGGACTCAACATCCTTGAAAGACAAGTGAGGATTCTTCTCTTTCAGATAAGAATTTGGGGTTGCTACCAAAGCCAGCCTTGACCTCGGAGGGTTATCTTTGCATCATCCAGCCTTTGTGCAAAGTCAGCATCATCACAGCTGCCGAATGAGGCTCTAAAAAGCGCCTTTGTTCTGGCAAAAGATCTGGAGATAGCGGACTTATCAGAGGGGAAATTCTGAAGATGATTGCCTCCGTGTCCAACAGACAGTTGCACACAAAGAGGAGTATTTACTTAGGCAAATCCTAGAAGAACCAGGACCTTGTTGAGCAAAAGGGGCGTCTAGGAGGAACTGGCATCTTCTTCCTCCTAGGCGCCAGTTTCAGTCAACAAGGTCCAAGTTGTTCAAGGATTACCGTCAACCTAAAGCATAAGTCGAGGGCGGGTTGGGGGGGCCCAAAAGTATGGATTTTGATATGATTCACTGATAAATTGA